CAATCAACAGTACACCATATATACGGGAAATGTCGCCCCTTCTGAAGGAGTGTCTAAATCAAATTTACAACATATATACAGGAAATGTCGCCCGTTCTGAAGGAGTGTCTGAATAAAATGTACACCATATATACGGCAAATGTCACGCTTTCTGAAGGAGTGTCTCAATCCAATGTACACCATATATACGGGAAATGTCGCCCCTTCTGAAGGAGTGTCTCAATCAACCGTACACCATATATACGGGAAATGTCGCCCCTTCTGAAGGAGTGTCTCAATCAAATTTACACCATATATACGAGAAATGTCACCCCTTCTGAAGGAGTGTCTGAATCCAATGTACACCATATATACGGAAATGTCACCCCTTCTGAAGGAGTGTCTCAATCCAACTGTACACCATATATATGGGAAATATCGCCCCTTCTGTAGGATTGTCTCAATCCACCGTACACCATATATACGGGAAGTATCGTCCCTTCTGAAGGAGTGTCTCAATCAAATTTACACCATATATACGGGAAATGTCGCCCTTTCTGAAGGAGTGTCTAAATCCAATGAACATCATATATACGGGAAATGTCACCCCTTCTGAAGGACTGTCTGAATCCAATGCACACTATATTACGGGAAATGTCACCCCTTCTGAAGGAGTGTCTCAATCCACCGTACACCATATATATGGGAAATATCGCCCCTTCTGAAGGATTGTCTCAATCCACCGTACTCCATATATACGGGAAATATCGCTCCTTCTGAAGGAGTGTCTCAATCATATTTACACCATATATACGAGAAATGTCACCCCTTCTGAAGGACTGACTCAATCCACTGAACACCAAATATACGGGAATGTCACCCCTTCTGAAGGAGTGTCTCAATCCAATGTACACCATATATACGAAAAATGTCACCCCTTCTGAAGGACTGTCTCAATCCACTGTACACCATATGTACGGGAATGTCACCCCCTGAAGGACATGTCTCAATCCACTGTACACCATATATACGAAAAATGTCACCCCTTCTGAAGGACTGTCTCAATCCATCGTACACCTTATATACGGGAAATGTCGCCCTTTCTGAAGGAGTGTCTCAATCAAATTTACACCATATATACAGTAAATGTCGCCCCTTAGGAAGGAGTGTCTAAATCCAATGTACACCATATATATGGGAAATATCGCCCATTCAGATGGAGTGTCTCAATCCAATGTTCACCATATATACGGGAAACGTCGCCCCTTCTGAAGGAGTTTCTGAATCCAATGGACACCATATATACGGTAAATGTCACCTCTTCTGAAGGACTGTCTCAATCCAATGTACACCATATCTACGGGAAATGTCGCACCTTCTGAAGGAGTGTCTAAATCCAATGTACACCATATATACGGGAAATGTCGCCCCTTCTAAAGGACTGTCTCAATCCACTGTACACCATATATACGGAGAACGTCGCCCCTTCTGAAGGAGTGTCTCAATCCAATGTACACCAAATATACGGGAAATGTCGCCCCTTCTGAAGGGGTGTCTCAATCAAATTTACATAATATATACGGTAAATGTCGCCCCTTCTGAATGACTCTCTCAATCCACTGTACACCATATATACGGGAATGTCACCCCTTTTGAAGGAGTGTCTCAATCCACTGTGCACCATATATACGGGAAGTATCGCCCCTTCTGAAGGACTGTCTCAATCCAATGTACACCATATATACGGGAAATGTCGCACCTTCTGAAGGAGTGTCTAAATCCAATGTACACCATTCATACGGGAAATGTCATCCCTTCTGAAGGAGTGTCTCAATCCAATGTACACCATATATACGCGAAATGTCGCCCCTTCTGAAGGAGTGTCTCAATCCAATGTACACCATATACAGAGGCGGTGGCACAAAATGTTGCATGAGAGGCGAGATCTACTCACCAACCTAGCGCCGAAGGCGCAACCTTACTAGGGGATTTGGGGTAATTTTGAAATCTAGACTCTCTGAAACGCTACACCATATATACGGGAAATATCACACTTGAACGACCAATGAATATCAAGAATTGCTAACTGTACCTAATCGGACCTAACAAATATCAAAACTGTTTTGGAAATATAAAATGGCAATTTTTACAGAAGAAACAGAATACTTACTAAAAACACTGTTAATTTAATTTAAGCCATGAAAGGCCATATCTGGTAGACTAACAAATGAGTATCGACACCACTTGGCAAAAAGTGTGAAACTCCATTATCATCACTGGTCGTGATCGTTGGTGGTAGACGTCTTGGCTAGGATTTCAAAATGCTTTTGTTTTTTCTGACGTAGTCGGGGAGGCAAGATAGAACTTGTAAAGGGGTAGACTGGCATGGTGAGGCACAATACACATTCAAATATAAGAATAAAAATCTAGATTTAATACTAAATATCCCTATCACAAAATAATAATATGCTAGCACATAAAATAAAGTCTAATCAAAAAACTGCAATAAAGTGTCAGTGATTTTAGTGATTACATTACTACATAACAGTTCTCCCACACAATGGAGATGCGTTGTCGCAGGTACAGTATCAAAAGCCTGTTTCACACATGTAATAAATTGCACGCCCATCAAATCGCGAATCGAATCCAATCGCAGCTACATACAATATTCCATTCACACACCAAGAAAAACGATTTAATATTTTTCTTATGTTGTCAGGCAGGCTAACACCCTTTGATCGACCAGGACCAAAGTGGTTTCGATCTTTGTTACGTCCCAAATGTAGTTATAAATATTTATAAACTCATTATGCAATGTACAATCTCCATGTGCGGGTGACGTGCTGCAAGTCAGATAAACTGTAGAAAGGTTGATATTTAATGGAAAAATAACAGAAAAACTGCAATTTTTCGGCCGAACGAGCTTCAGTTCGAAAGTATCGGATAACTCACAAGGCTTGAACTGTATGTATACTGATTTCGCGATCATTCCAAAGCAGACAATAAGAACAGAAGTACAGAGAAGTGCAGTGAAACCATTTATCGAGGGTGTCCAGATCAAACTGATTAAAATCAGATGTATTGTTACAGTAGGGCAGCTTATTTTTCTTTCTGAATTTCATATATTTTATTTTAATAGTACTACATTTGTTTAGTATTTCGTAATTTTTATAAAAACTGCTCAAATGCTTTAAATGCTCAATTATTCAGTTTTACAATGTACATATTCACCCCATCCTCAAATAAAAGCTAAACACCCCCTAAACAATTATAGATAAAAACTTCTGAAACATGGACATGGAACGGGAGCTGGGATTAACTGCTCGAGTTAATGTATCAACAAGACGAAACCAACAACGAGGAGTATACATGTTCGTGGAGTATACATGTTCGTGGAGTATACATGTTCGTGGAGTATACACCCTGGACTCTTCTCACGGGGACGCACACACCTCCCATACGCTTACGCCGAGCGTCAACGTCAATGTACCGGCATGACATTCAAATTTCATCGATAAGCTTATCGTAGCATTCAAGGCGAATTTCGTTGGTGCTGGCCTGGGTGATAGTCATTCGGAAATAGACAGATATTACGCCGAAGATTCCAGCCATCACAGCCATACATGCGAGGATGTGCCAGCAGAATGCCATTGTTACAAACATCAGGTTCTCGTGACTGTCGGGGTCCCAATGAGCGCCGCCATTAGGTGGGTATAATACAAACGCGACTTGCCAAAACCACGTACCCTGAGTGAAGGTTAGACCGGTGCGAATGAACGGCAGCAGTTGGACATCAGTTTTCCAAATTTCGGTGAATGTCACCAGTGCGGTTAGCAATACTGTAATCACCAACATATAGTGCAGTGAAATGTCTAAAGGCGAACGGGCGTGAACGTGGAAGTAAAACAGCATACCTTCGATGAAAAAAGCCAAGGCCATGAAAAAGTGCTCAAAAGCTTTCAGCCCAGTGACACACGTACGTGCAATGACAAATACTGCACCGGCGATGCCAAAGAATATGTACATAGTGCAGTGCTGCCATTCTACCGAATGCACAAATTTTCCCGTGTCTTTGTCTAACATGGTCCATTTCCATTCAGGCCAAGATTGTTCAACGATGACCCCAACACTACCGAACACAACGACGATTATACCTTCAATGAACTCGGCATCGCGGCTTGTAAAGAAACGTCGTGTTCCATTGCTGTTGACAGTCGGGTTGTTGGTCTGCCTAAATACGTTTGAATTCTTACGAATAAAGCGGTAGGAATACTTTATGCACCACCATACCCCGAAGACGATGAAAAAGCTGCCGGGGAGAGCGTGTCCCATGAAAAGCCCCATAGCTGTTCCCGTTAAATTATCGTCCAATTCAATCGTAACTAAGAAAGTAATCAGATGTTTGACCTGCGGTGTTTCGCCACGTCACTCGTACGGACAATATGGCTTCTCATAGGGTCTATGAGCTTCCAAGACTGTAAGCTACTACTGCGGGTCAAATCGCGAAACAAAAGAGTCGTGAACAAAGAACTTTCGAAGGCAATAAATAATACATGTGAATTACCTAGAGGTCGCTGTTCGATTCGCTAAAGGGTGAAATCGACCATGGAGATTTTTTTTGCTCCATGAGTCGACGCATGTGTCACCCAAATTAAGTTTGAATGACAAATTGAAAAAAAAAAAAAAAAATTTAAAGATATCCCCACTTATTTAATGAACCCCTGCAGATGGTATTACCATGAAATACAAAGGATCAGAAATGTGTGAACAATTATCAAGACAAGTTCTAACAGGAAACCGGTTACGTAAGAACGTATCCACTCACTGTGTACTTGTACCTTTTTTTAATTATCATGAGTACTACGTTTAGGGGGCGGTAAAATTCACATGGGTCCGAAAGTGGGGGGCTTGTTGCTGAAAATATTTTTAAGTGGCACATGAATATGAAGTCCCATCCCCTTAATTGTAAACAGTGACCCCACTTTTTCAAATAGAGTACCCCCCCCCCAGTTTTTATGTTGAGCTATTTTTTTTTTCTAAGAAATAAAACATCATTACATACATTTAGTTACTTTTAGAGTCGCTACAACATGAATACATGTACGTCATAATGAAAAAGATTTGATAATTTTTTTTTCAGTTGTGACTTTCACTAATTCATGGTTAGTACCTTCATGGAGGTAAACAATTTACCTCCATGGTACCTTCCATGACTAATTGAATGGATCTCGACGGACGAAACATAATAGTGGATGTTCCGCTCACCGCGATATCCCACGAGATGCCCTGACAACGGTTGCCAGCCACGTGACACAAGCTTTGGTTCAAAATGGCGTCCTAGCTTACGATCCGTTTGTTTTACGTTAATATAATGGATAATGTCGACAAACTTACAGTGCCACGGTTCAAGAGCTTTTTACGTAAATTTGGTGTCTCAACATCGAATTCTACACTCCTTGCACCAATCACATTTGCCCATTTCAACCACAGTCCCTCAACAAACGGTTTAGGAACGCTATTGTTCAAAGTTGTGAATTACACTTTACGTTGATCCGACGCTGGTTATGCTATGAGTTGTGGGAAAAACTGTCATACCGCCCTCTTATAGCTGTGCTTGTGAATTTTATTATACATGTATATACATATATATATATTTAGTTTCCGTTATTCTGACATTACTATTTGAAATCACAAGAGTCTCAGATAAAGGAGAGAACAGATTTTATGCACGAACTAGGTGCTTCTCTTAAGATAATTGATCTGGTTATGATGCGAAGTACTGATTTTATAAACCTATTCAGATATGTTGAATGGTACCCAAAAAAAATATTAGCATCTATAGAACAAATATAAACTAGCAATATTAAATTGCATTCTATTCCATCTATATTTAACACAGTTTTCTTAATCAAAACTTGGGTTGTTTTCAAAGTTAAAATTTGCTATAAAGGTGTGAATGTGAAGCCATAAAATCATGTGTCTGCTTTTTTCAGGTTTCCAGAATGGCTTAAAAGTCTAATAAATAGGCAATATTCCCAGTCGACACCAACATCATCAAAATTGACGAAATCGTCGTACATTTTCACGTATTTGGTTATATTCTTGGTTATATCGAACGATCGAGAGTCACATTGCATTGATCAAAACAATAACATTGGGTATGAGCATACGCATACTGCATTTGCGTAAAGCACCCTGGGTTAAATGATATCGTGATTTATGCTAATTTAATCGTGATATAAATAATGCTATGTTCCACTGGACTATATCTCCAGAACTATGGTTTACGGGAACGATTGTAACTTAATCCCCAGAGCAAATATTAACACGAGACATACATGAATGTATATGTCAGCTTTCTGAAAACATATACATTGCCATAACTGCATGCTTAGTAACTGGCGAGGAAAGTCCTAAACTCTATTAAACTATAAATTATGTTTCCCCTCTCGCTACCTTAGTGGGGAAAAAATCATTCGTAAGACGTCCGTTCTTATCTATCGAATAAACATCCAGCGGAAGCGTAATTAGCATAGTACAAAGGGAAGATTTTCGTTTCTCACCCGTTTTTGAGGGACTGTGTTTCAACGAAGTTGACGTAGATTCTCATCAACTTCGTCACTTGAGGGCGCGGTGTGTATATATCACATACTCATACAGTCTATTGTTCTATATACCTTGGGTGGCTAAATGCCCACTTTGTAGACCTGTCAAATCTGTTACACTTAGTGAAATAGGTCTCACTGAATCGTGGTTACAGAGCTGTCTATATTTATATTTCCGAAAATGTTAAAGTGGGATGGTGCAGATCTTTGCATACACCAATTAACACACAGCTATTGCAATATTCTTGTGTACAATACTTTATTTTCGCTTGGAATTTATTTTCGCTATTTTCGTTGAAGGGATGATTCAGCGAAAATAAAATCTACTGAATATGCCTTTTTTCCTATATTTTACATTTAACTTCAAAAATCAATGAAAATAAATTACATACAAAACACCCAGCAAAAATTAATTCCAGCTAAAATACAGTATTTTACAGTACCGCGTTTCGAAGTATAGCGGTAAACTATTATCTGTTCCTAATAAAAACAGACGGGGTATGGTATGAGGGATCACGTTACTAGGTTTTGAATACCAGTCTAGACCAGTCACGCCATAATGCAGTTTTCAATTTAATTTGTTTGTATTTTGTTTATATTTTTCGTTGTCACAAGTGGTGTGACACCCGCTACTGTCCTCGGGACACGCCTGACAGTGCAACGGATACAGGCTTTTTGCCAAACTTCCTTTTGGAAAGGACTTTTCATTCCTGGTCGGCGGTCGGAGTGTTAGTAACGGGGAGTGTTATTTTTATTAATGATTGCGTTTACCATTTTCAAATTGTTGTTGACTTTGTTGTCAGTTATTTCGAATTTTCTTTCCCTCGTAATGTTAGTTGCCGTGTTCCACAGCCCATTTCGGCTTTTTGGGGATATAGAATCCGAATTCAGTAAACTTGTGCACTACATGCAATATAATGACAAATATTTTGGTTTGTTGTGTCTTGATAAATAAATTATTCGCCGTACTGCATATATGTGGCTGCCCCTTACTATATGCAAGTGTGTGTTGTACATTATTCAATGCGGTGGGTCTAAATAAGACTTACTCGTAGTTAGTTTACGCCATTGCGTTTATTCGTTGAGATTCACATAATATCACTCTAGAGGGCGCAATTGCCATCTATAATTTCTCCGGTAGACCTTGTATGTTCTGGGACGACGGTAATTTACTTAGTTGAAGGCCTCATATTAATACAAATGAGAACAAAATTAGTAAAAAGATTAGGTTAATATTTACGTCATTATTTATCCAAGTGAACCATGATAATATTATATAACTCACTAATTCTTTCACACACATACATGTATGGGGAAATACTTTCGCCACGTTCATAGGTTCTATTTTTATATTACAGAAAAAAATGTGTCTGTTTAATAACCTTCTCGTATTCAACTTCGTATTCATTCAACTACTTCTATTGACGTAGCTGCGTAATCTTGATGTATATAATTAGCATATGTAATTATCACATGTATATACGACCTGACAACTATAGATGCGCTCGTTTTTCAAGCCATTGCGCTTTTTTTCAAATTCTCACTCATATTCGACCATATCAACAACCAGCGATAAACTTGCAATTCCAAAAGAGAAGTTTAGCATGGCATTCTAAATTCATTTAAAACACTAACCACGAGGACTCGTTTTAAAATTGCCCAATTTATAATAATTCATTTTTTAAGTTTGACTATTTTTGTTTACTGCTATTGGCATCATAATTTTCTGCATTATCTTTATTATAATTACTGAATTTAATTTTCCGATTTCACTGTCCATTTAAATATAGTTTACAACAATTAGCAAGGGCAAGCTACTTGATTAGTTCCACCGTGACTAAAACTACATAACTAGTCCTCATCAAATAAGTACATATATTTCTTTTCTTAACGGCGTTTGTTGTGCGTGTATACTTTATTTCATATCTGGTGGAATTAACTTGTATAATTATTCAGATGCAAATAGCCACCGAGATCTCAATCAGAGCGAGGGAGCCGCGAGACTTCGATCACAGCGAGAGTGTTGCGAGACTTCGATCAGAGCGAGGGGGCCGCAAGATTTTGATCAGAGCGAGGGAGCTGCGAGACTTCGGTCAGAGCGGGGGAGCCGTGAGATTTCGATCAGAGCGAGGGAGCCGCGAGATTTCGATCAGATCGAGGGAGCCGCGAGACTTCGATCACAGCGAGGGAGTCGCGAGACTTCGATCAGAGCGAGGGGGCCGCAAGATTTTGATCAGAGCGAGGGAGCTGTGAGACTTCGGTCAGAGCGGGGGAGCCGTGAGATTTCGATCAGAGCGAGGGAGCCGCGAGATTTCGATCAGATCGAGGGAGCCGCGAGACTTCGATCACAGCGAGGGAGTCGCGAGACTTCGATCAGAGCGAGGGGGCCGCAAGATTTTGATCAGAGCGAGGGAGCTGTGAGACTTCGGTCAGAGC